GGGAATCCATGTGGGTTGAATATGATGTCGGGCACCTGCCCTGTCCCTGTGAAGGGCATGTCTCGCATGGGGTAGAACTGACTGCAGGTAGGATTGGTTGGAGATGAATGAGTAAATAAGAAGATGAATAGATGAATGAATAAATGAATGAATGAATGAATGAATGAATGAATGAATGAATGAATGAATGAATGAATGAATGAATGAATGAATGAATGGCAGATGGGATGGAGTTGACTGTGGATGGATAGATGGGTAGATAGATAGACGGATAGATAGATGGAAAATAAAAAGATGACTCAGTAGAAATATTGATAAACAAGAAGACAGACAGACAGAACAAATAAAACATGGATGAACAAATTGACAAAAATGGACAGATGGATGAATAAAAAAAAACAGGTAAACAGATTGATGGACGAATGGATTACAGAGATGAAAGACGAATGGACACATGAGCAAACTGACCTGCAAATACCTTTCTGACCGTGTCTGCTGGAAAACTTATCGCCGATTGTTGGATTCCTCTGTTCGTTAAATTAACAAATTAATCAATTAATCAGCCAGTCAATCAATTAACTAATAAACTATTAATTAATTAACTAACTAATTAGCAGATGAAGAAATGAACAAATAAACCAACAAACAAACAAACGAATGAATGAATAAATGAATGAATAAATGAATGAATGAATGAATAAGCAAGCAGACCATAATCCGGAGAACGATGCGAACGAGGGAGCACTTAATTTTGGGATTCTCATCCCCACAGAGTTTGACCTGATCTACGTAGGCCACCTCCTTGCCCTTGTACCTCACCACCACATACGTGTTCATGTTCAACTCCTTGTAGCTGGTTAGGTGGTCAGGTGTTTGGTTGGCAGGTTGTAATGGAAGGAATGATGAAACATGTTATTAACGCAAAAACTCGCAATATTAAATTGTTTACCTAATTGTCATCTGGACTGATATTAATTATATAAATGAATGAATGAATGAATAAATAAATAAATGAATAAATGAATGATTGAATGAATCAAACAACCGACCAACCTGTACAAAGGATCGCCAGGCGAGATGATAGAACCGACGGCAGGGAATCCATCTGTATCCAACTTGTCTTTCACGCTAGCATCACTCATATTCGCTCCTTCAATCAATCAATCAATCAATCAATCAATCAAGTTATTCAATTGATTAGTTAATAAATTATTTGATCAACTGATCCATTAGCAACTTAATTATTCACTAAAATCGCTCAACAAAAAACGGAATAAAAATTTAATAGAAGCAGTCTAGCTAGTTCAATCAAATATTCAATCATCTGCTTAATGAACAATCAAAAGTACCAACCAACCAGCCAACTAGCGAATCATACATCCATCTAACAAACACATCAATCAACTCACCAAACTCATAGTAATCCAGGTTTCGTTCGCCTGTTATTTGTTTCAAGTCAACTGTCTGCAAGAGAATAAAATTGTTAAACTCAGTAAATGAACAGATCGATCGTCCAATCACTTGGTCAACTAATCAATCAATTAAACAAGATTTCTAATGAGACGTTATACAATGGTAATAATTTCCAACCAACAAATAATGTGGTGAGTAGGATGAAACAACGAGAGAAAGAGAGAGAGAGAGAGAGAGAGAGAGAGAGAGAGAGAGAGAGAGAGAGAGAGAGAGAGAGGGAGGGAGGGAGAGAGAGAGAAAGAGAGAGAGAGAGAGAGAGAGAGAGAGAGAGGTAGATAGATAGATAGATAGATAGATAGATAGATAGATAGATAGATAGATAGATAGATAGATAGATAGATAGAGAGAGAGAGTGAGAGATAGAAGACGAAAAATTACGTTTAATAAAAAAGAAGCATAGAGACCTCAGTTTTGTAGATGGTGCCAAAGGCAAAGCCCCTTTCGAACGAAGCTTTGTTGATGATCATAGCATCTTCCATGTCGTAACCCTGCGTTGTTCATCATCGTCGCCATCATTTTTAAACATCATTTGTATTCATTTCGAAGATACGTGCGAGCATTAATTTTACCATTTGATTGATTAACTAATTAATTAATTAATTAATATTGCATAATTACACATTAAACCACAAAAATTTTAAATTAAAACGTCCACTGATATAAATTTGAAGCAGGCATCAAAGAATGATTTCATAACGTGACATCTAGCATGCTGAAACATGCATCTAATTATTTTATACCATTTATTTTTTTGTATTCAAATAACGAGTTTTAAATTAAATTCAAACTGTAATGTTCGAAAAAAAGAACTTTAAAAAATTTTTCAAGACTTTCATCATTGAACAGGGCAAGTAACTTACGGTGTACGCCATGACAGCTACAACAGCATTGGTCCCTATGGGGTATTCGTCGAGGGCAAGGTAGTCGTAGATTGCTAAAAAGGTTTTCGTTTTGTATGTATGTATGAATGAATGAATGAACGAACGAACGAACGAATGAATGAATGAATGAATAAATGAATGAATGTTGATTGAAAAATAAGGTATAACATAAGACTTGTTATACCTTATTTTTATATTTTATAAACGTATACCATTTTACATAACATACACAACCAACCAACCAACCAATAAATCAAACATTCAACCCTACAACCAATCGATCAATCGATCAACCAATCAATCAATCAATCAGTCTGACAACCGACGACAACGAACCAGTTCTGACGAGTGGAGTCTGCGGAGTTGAGATTCTGTAATGTTTGTTGTCATTTCGGTAGGGCCAGGCCAGCAGGGGAGTGCCCATGGTCTGTTTGCTCATCTGGAGACATGTTATCGTTTTATCATCATCGTTTATATTTTATGATGGTGATTTGGTTGGTGGTGAAGATTTATCAGCAAAAAAAGCAATGAAAACAAAAAAGTTGTGGAGAAGCTAAAGGTAGAGAACAGACAGGATACAAAAGATATACCAATAAATACATAAATAACAGAGATATAAAAAAGAGAAAGACAGAGAGAGAGAGAGAGAGAGAGAGAGAGAGAGAAAAAAAGAGAGAAAGAGAGAGAGAACCAACCTGACATTGGTACATGTTTCTGCAACTTTGATTGAAGTTGGAGAATGGTGTGAGGGAGGCCAACTCAGACAGTGTGGCAAACTTGTGCAGCTCCATGTGGGTTGTCAGCTGGATAATGATGATGGCAGTGATGAAGATGATGATGAAAATGATGAATGGAGTGACGCAGATGATGAAAATGATGACTAAATAAAATGAATACTACACATGATACGAATCTCATCGTTATCATTCTTGACATTGCAATTATCACTCAACTCTATATATAAATATGCGACTACTAATCATCATCATCATCATCAACAACAACATCATCATCATCAACATCATGATAATTATCATCACCACCAGTACTAACCCCTTCATAAGCTTCACTCATCTTGTTACAAATATTGAGGTAGGCTTGTTCGAAGGATCCGATGATCTCGACTGAATTGGTGCCGAGGTTGAGGACGGGTCTGACGAGGCGGGCAGGCGATGTGAAGACATACAGGCCGGGGTACTGGGCCGCAACGTCCCTATTTGGTACCAGGCAGATCTCCGTGTCCTTTGGAACCTGTGACGTCGTTTGGTCGTTGTAATTATGTTCACTTGTTAATGTAATTATGTTCACTTATTAATGTAATTATGTTCACTTATTAATGTAATGGTGTTCGCTTGTTAACGTAACGGTGTTCGCTTGTTAATGTAATAGTGCCAACAATCAAACGGAAACAAAAGACACACCCCTTCGATAGAAAGCACTTTCCTCTTCCTCAAGCCAGATGCAATCAGTTCAGCGTTAGAAGACTTGGCCCACCCGAGGACCACCCCATCAACGAGGACTGGCAGGTCTCCGTCGTATCCATCTCTGCCCGTCACCATGAAGTCCAGTGGAGTGACACCCAAACTGACTAGATTGTCGAATAAAATCTTGTTCACACCAGGTCTGCTTGATGCAACTGCCTGTGTGTTGCGTGTGTGGGTTGCGTGTGTGTGTATAATGTTGCGAGTGTGTGCGTGTGTGGTGTGTTGTGTTGCGTGTGTGTGTATATGTTGCGTGCGTGCGCGTGTGTGTTGCGTATATATGTATGTTGCGTGTGCGTGTGTGTGTCAGTTGGAAGAAATAGATTTGGTGATGCATCGTTGGTTATGCTTGTTTACTCTCACAGTTGCAACGATGGTAACATTGTTACAAAGGTGTTACAGTTACTATCAGCTTTCATTACAATATCATCAAACATTTTTGTATTTTCTTGTATTGTATTGTGCCAACACCACCATCAGCATTGTATTCCTTGATCTTTTGAAACAAAAATTTCAGACGCAAACCAAAAATACTAATACAAGGCCACAAACATTGAAATAAGAACATGCTAATAATGAAATATGAATATGCAAATATTAAAATGACTCCGCAAACACACCTGACATGAATATGTAAGATGGCATAGAAGACCACAAGGTGTACCGTCAGGTGTGTGCACTGGACACATGAAGCCTGTGTTATGAATATTAATTAGATACTTAACATAATCTGAATAAATAAGAGACGAATTAACACTATGCTGAATAAATAACTATTAATTAATGTACCACGAATATTTATAACTTAACAAAGCAAAAAGTGAGATCAAGAGTTCTCAAATGGACATATTCAAAATTCCTACACTTTTAGAAAGTTTATTTTCTTATATATGACACTCTTCCTCTTCTTCATCATCACACCAACATCATCATCATCATCATTACCACCATCATCATCATCATCCCCACCACCACCACCACCACCATCATCATCATCATCATCAACATCATCATCATAACTCACCCCAAGTCTCTGGGTACAACTTTCTGACCGTTGTCGTTCGCATTGTCGTGAAGAATGTTCCTCTGTGGACAGCCCGGAAATGAGAGAGGAATCTGATGATGATGGTGGTGATAATGGTAGTGGTGATGTTATAATGGTGATGACGATGATGATGATTGCCTTATAATTATGGTGATGGTGGTGATGTTATAATGATGATACCGATAATATTATAGAGATGATGATGCTATAATGATGATGTCGTCATAATGATGATGATGATGACGACGACAGTTTTTACAACGACGATGACGTCATCAAGGGATTGATAACAATAAATTATTTAAATGATAACGATGCTGACGTGATGATGCTGATGTGATGACGATGGCAATAGAATGATGACGTAATAATGTAAATGGTGTTGAGAGACATTAACACAATGATGAGATAACGTAAAAATGAAAATAACGAAAATGTGATAATGGTGATCTTGATACACACATAATGTAGTGATGAAGATATGATCGTGATGGAGATATGATGAGGATGGTGATGACAAAGATATGATGATGAAGAAGATGATAACGACGACGATGATGATGATGAACATATGATGATGATGAAAATATGAGGATGATGAGGATGACGACGTCGATGATGAAGATATGATGGTGATGAAAATATGATTAGGATGATGAAGATGATAACTTTGATGAAAATGTCAATCTATCGAACCTGTAGTAATTCAGTCTTTCGGCAACAACTGTCATCCCACTGTCCTGTAGAAAATAACCACCAAAAACATCATCACAATCACCATTATCATCATCATTACTATCAACTTCATCACCAGTACCTTCATCCCACAGCATCACTATCCTACCTGCATCAATCCCAATCCGGTTTTGGATACGATCCGACCTGTGGATATCATGTAATGAAGTGGATTTGTAATGTCAGGCACTCGTCGCAGAGCTGATCTCAAAAGGGCTAATATGGGCAAATTATGTTAATTTATGTTAATTTATTTAAATTATGTTAAATTATACTTTTTGGCTGACGTTATAAAATGGATTGAGAGAAAAGGCAAAACTTTTCACAAATAGCTATAGAAACCATAAAGCCTAAGAATTACAACAGTTACAAATTTTTCCAAAGTTATATGTGAAGACTAAATTTTAAGAGAGAGAAAGATAATTATTACCGTCGCGTTTTTATTAACATTAAATGAGTATAACATAACGTGACATGACATGAGTTATAACATTAACATTAAATCAATATAAATGTCATTGACTGAATAGACTTACTTTCATCCAACTCCACGGCATCTTTTTTAGCCCTGAGGATGTTAGCCCTCAAGTTGTTCAACCAATCTTGGAGTTTTTCCTGAATAAATAAGTATTTAACAAAGCCTCCTTACTAATGACTAATGGAAACATTATCAACATTTGTTTGTACGTACCACAACCACAACCACCCCCACCACCACCGCCATCCTCATCATAATCAATTTCAGTTCATCATCCACATCCACATCAACGTAACCATCGTCATCTTCATCAGCATCATCACAATCACAACAACATTGATAATAAAAACATAGCATCCATTATGACAACACCACCCTCAACATCCACCCACCCACACATCCACCCACCCATCCACACATTCACCCACCACCCAGCCACCCACACATTCACCCACCACCCACAACACATGCAGCAAAAATGACAGGACACAAAATGTGTGGACGATGGACCTACATGTAGAACGAGCTGCATCAAATGGCCAGGCAGCAAAACTTCCTGGAACATCAGACTGTCTGGACTCTCCGCACAACACTTTCCTTTCGCAAATGCAAACAATTTCCTCGTCATGAAACTTTTTGTGGTAACCAAAAATACGAAATAATTACGAATATATAAAATATTTATCTATAAATATATGTAATACTAAATATACAAATATGAGTGCGAATTAAATGTGAGAATTTCATCACTTACATCAACAAGTTGACTTTGTCCTGAGCTGTAGTCAGGTGAATGCAAACCAGTTTGCTGTTAAAAACAGAGCACGTTTTAATTTTTCACTTACAATTTTCAATTTTTTTTTTTGACCCAAACATCTTCCATGTCATCACAATTTTCAAACAAAATAAAATTAATTTATTAATAAAGAATTTCCAAATGAATAGATGACAAAAATTAATTTTCCATCAAAAAAAGAAAGAAAATAAGAAGAAAAATGACAAACTCCATGAGGTATTTGGCCACTTGTTCGTTGGTGTAGCATTCGGGTAGGTCCAACTTCACCCTGAAAAGTTCCCCCATGTAATTGAGTACCTTGGCTTGCGTGGCCAGGCCCTCCCTATGTGCGTCCCTCAACATGTTTCGGACGCAGGAGCCCAAAAAACTGCCCTCCCTATCGGTTTCGCCCCTCATCATCTCCTCGTAGATGTAATCGTCGGAGGTTCGGCTGCTGATGGCTCGGATGATGATGATGACCGGCACGAAGAATTCTTGTTTCATGAGGGAGAAACTGAGAACAGCGGATCCATTCGTCAGGTAGTGCAAGGTGTTTGTCTGTGCGGTGATGGGCGGGGCGGTTAAGTTTTTATTCATCTCTTTTTTGTCTTTGATTTCAGTTAAAATTTGATCATTGCCAAATTATTTACAAAAAATATTTCAAAATTTAAAATGTCTACAATTTGAAATCATCGTATGGCTAGTTTGCTGAACAGTTTCGCATAGTAGCAACACTTGAATAAAGCATGGCAACAAAACGTACACAGGACGATGTGAGATCGGGCTTAACACATCTGATGGTTACTCCATAGTCTGTGTAGAACTGGCCCTTGTCCGACCAAGCTCTCCTCTCTACGGCCAGTGGCTGGTGATCAATATCAAAAAATTATATCATCGTCATTTTGTGGTGCTGTCTGTACAGCCATCCTCATAAACATCATTCACCATCATCACTGACTTCAAAATAACCATCATCATTGTCACCGTAAGCAAGAAAAGCATCCCATTATTAAACAGGTCACCACACACACACACACACACACATACACACACACACACATACACACACACACATACACACACACACACACACACAGCACTCACATAATTCCTTCTTGGCATGATCAACATTCTAATAATTCTTTCCAGGCCTTTCATTATAAAATAGCCGCCTGCTTCCTACAAAGTTAATTAATTAATTTATTTATATGTTAATTTATTTAAATATTAATATATTCAAATGGTAATTTATTTAAATGTTAATGTATTCAAATATTAATCGAGTACAATAATAATGATATCAAATTAATATTAATTAATATTTATATTGTTAAAAATTAAATTATAAATAATAATATAACTTTGATTGTTATAATTAATTAACCTCTGCCTCTTCTCCTTTCTTGACCAGTTGTGAAGGTGAAAGTCCATGCAGGTGACATATCTCAGACTTGAAAATTATAAATATTTAATCCATTTAAAAAGTTCTTTGAATTACCAGCACTTATATATCATAATTACAAATAATTAAATTCATAAATAATTAAATTGATAACATGGTAATAAAGTAGATGAAATGAATGATTAGTTAGATTGACAAGGGAAACACAAAACAAAAAAACACACATGTAGGGCATTTAACGAGCAAAATTCTCTCAAAACACGCACGCACACACACATTTATACACACACACGCGCACACACACCACACACGCGCACACACACCACACACACACAAAACAGTATTACCTTGACCATGATGGGCAGATAGCCAATGTGTCTATTGATGGTCATCTGGTCAACATTATTAATCTTCCAACCTATCTCCACAGTAACTGAACTGCAATACGTCAACCCACGCTGTCGGCACTGAGATGTGAAAGTTGATAGTTAGGAGAATAAATTAATCTAATAGAATTATTTAATTTTTCATTTTATGAAGCAGCAGTCACGACAATGAAAACTATTCCCTGTTTGTAATTAAAATTGCGTTATATATGCTGCTGGCAACCATACGAAATAGTATATAAAGTATTAAGGAAATAATTTGACCTCGCTGGGGTAAATTTTTTCAGATCTTCTGTTTTCATTTTTCATGTACATCATCTCGGGCACTGACACCTCAATGCTCTGATTGTTTGAGTTTGATTGTTAGTTTAGTCGGTGAAATAAAATAGTGATTGTCATCATGAATTAATTTAACTGAAAAAGTTTTATAAAACGAATTTGAATCACATATAAATGCATGTGTATATATTGAAAAAGAAAGTTGATGAAACAAGCAATTGGTAACAAACTTTGAAATAAACTGTTATCTGACTGCTGTCTGGCATCATGAAATCTGTTTGAATGTCCTGAAAATTAGAAGCAAAATCGGATTCAGTACAAAGAATGAAAGCAGGTTCTAAAAATGGCCATGAACTATCACATTCATTCACATGTGTATGATAAATTATGTGTTATAAATATTTTCTTTTCTATAGTTCAACCATAGTTCAAAATGACTTCAGGAAATATATTTATTCCCAAAATATAAACACAATAACACATGCTAACAAACAACAACCAATGATTTTTAAAAAAATGTATTTAACGTTTTTGACATTGCACAAAAAAACACAAAATAATAAATACGGAGCAACTAACATAGATAGCTTAGCAAGTTAAAATGAAATGAAATGAAATATTAAAGAAAATGTGAATGGAAGTAGCCGACCTGTATGCAGTGGAGTATTCCGGTCTTAATGAACCAATTAAATGAATCTACATGTGGTTTGATCAAGTCTTGAATAGGCTGGGATATTTATTAAATTTGTAAAATTACAAAATATAAAATTTATAAAATAAATAAATAAATTATATAGATATACATTTATGTATTTATTTTTAATAATTAAATATTTAAAGATCATGTAATTATTTTTCATTTAAGCTTTGAAACATGGCATATAAGTTAACTAATTTAAGAAATAGAAATACATAAGACAATAATGATGATGTTATTAGTAATTAGTTAATCAATGTTTAATTATTATCAATCTATCAATTAATTAGTTTGTTTATAAAGTGCTATTTCCACGATGTTCAACAGCACTCCTCAATGAATTTTGCAAACAGATGGGTCTTGAGATCCGCTCTAAACTTTTTAAGTACTACTAAAAACAGTTAAATTTGCATGTTTTTTTACGAAGTGGCATCCATCTACCTACCACCACTGACTATACTTTTTTACTGTTCATTTTGACTTCGAATTAAAATTAAAAATTCCAAACTAAAAAAATTAAGAAAATTTAAAACTAGAAATAAAATAAAATAATTAATATAATATTTAACTAAGTATTAAATAAAAATATTAAAATTAAATTAAATTAAAAATTAAGTGACCTCATGTTGTTTGGGACCTAACTTTCCGTAGTTGGGATCAGTTAAATTTCTATAACTAAGTTTAATATTGTTCAAATCGGCCATTTCGATTTCGTGAACGATTCCAGCAAAACCGTAACAACTAACGTCTAATAATAAGGAAAATTAAAAAACATGTTTACACCAACTTATTATCGACCAAAGAAACTTTAAAACACTTTACAAAAGAAATAAATTTGTGTAATAATTTTTTTGGCTCAAGCCCTTCAAGTATCGTCCTGCTTGTTTGATAATAAAATTTACTCGACCATCAAAAACCAGATAGATAAAATAAATCAATCTTGACGTTTTAGATGCAGTTTATCTTTATTTTGAAGTTTATAAAAAACGCTGAAACTAAATTGAGATGTCGCTGACACGAGCAAACAAAAAGCAAACAATTTGCATGAACTGATACGATAATTTTTGAATTGTCTTCCATTAAGTTTATTCATTATTTTATTGCCGATTGAAATTATTCTTTTGAAAATGTTAACAAAATAAAATAACGAAAAACAAAATAAAATATTTTTTTTACAAATACATTGCAGGCATATACATAGAGTTACTGTTGGTTTTGTTCAATTTAATAAAATTATTTCTACTCGTCTTTAATTGCCCAATATATAATTTGACAACAAAAGCGAAATGTTAATAAATCGAACATTCCTCAACAATATAAACAAAACAAACGTTGCTACTGTTGATGAGTTTATCATTAACTTCATTTATCATGGATTAACGTCATCATCATCGTCGCCAACTTCATCATCGCTACTGATTCTTTATTAACAATCAATCATTCAACCAATCAATACAATATCATATTTATCTTCATCTTCAATGTTAGAATGCCTATCATAAATATAACAAGTTTTGCGAGTAAAAACTTAATCACCTGTATCACAGACGTCATCATCTATATCGATAACGATGTAATCACCTTGGTCATCAACATCAGAACCAATGCCTCCACCGATATAATTCTCCTTAACACCAATAGTATCATTAATATTATCACCATCATTATCTTCAATATCATCTACCTCAATATCATAATCCATCTCATCATCATCTTTCACATGAATATCATCCTCTTTATTTCCAAGATCATCATCCTCATCATCATCACTAAGATTAACTTCTTTATTGTTATTGCCAACCTTTTTATTTTTATTACCATCCTTAGTATTATCGTCATCATCATTTTCGCTATCCTCATTTTTACTATCCTCAACTTCACTATCATCATCTTCACCATCACCGTCTTTAATGTCACGCAAATATACAGATGTTTTCGAATTTTTAACCGGAATTGTTGATGCCTTTCGCTTGGATGACGTCTTCCTTCCGTTATCCTTGAAGCATATCTTCCTGAAAAGGTTTTTCATGAACGTTTTGTTGAACTGCTCATCTTTCAACTCGTCCAATAGCAGCAATTCAAGTCTTTTTACAATTTTCTGCAGGCTGACAGTTGCCGTCAAAATATGCTTACTGCATAGATTTAAAAGCCATTCAAAGCTGTGTGGTTTTTTTAAATTGAAGCAGCTATTGGGCAGCCCTAAATGTGTAAATCATATTAAATGTTTTAAATATTAATTGTATTCAATATTAAAATGAAAAAAAATTCATCAGAAAACAGCTGTTAGCGTAGAGATAAGGTTACTGAAATGCAAGAAAAGCATTCAAACATCAACCACCTTTCCTATTTGGCTGGTCTTTAGTATCGTTGCTCGCTTTTTCACTTATGAAATTGTAGCTATGCTTATCTAGAAATATGGAGCTACCGTTAACATAATCTTCGTGTGAAAAGACCAGGTACTTTTTCCATGGCTCAGGTATCACCTTCAAATCACCTGGAATCTCAGATATCACATCTTCCAGCGTTCTGGCAGGTTTCAGAGATTGGCACTTGAATTAATTGAACCAAAATCATTATTATTGTTACTATGATTATTATTGCAATTATGATAAATATTATTATGATTACAATTATTGTTATAATAATTATAATTAAATTGCATAAATTGATTTTACTCATAACAATGACCCATACAACTGCAGCTAGCAATAATTACAGTAGCAATAAAAACTGAAAAACGATACAATTCTTTTAAAACATGCTGAATTAATGCAATAATAAACTAACATTCACAATCATATCGTTTGATTCAAAGGATTGATTGGCAGTTGCCGGAGACTTTTTCGCTGCATTATCACCAGTTGAAGTTTTGGCTGCCACTGAATCATTCTTTACAACAGCTTCTCTGAACCTTCTATAATGCATAATATGTGCATACGTGCAACATACAAACGGACTCTTCTTAAATTTCCTTCTCGGCACACGATCTCGATGGTGATCGTTCCGATTTGAATTTTCAGCGCCATTGATGAGGTCGTTATTAATTCGATCGTAATCATATTCAAGTTCTTCATCACCATCTGGCTGTTTAATTTTCTTCGACATATTACTGAACAGGCGATGGTAGTTCTTCATGAACTCCACTTTTCGTACGTAAACTGCAAGCAACAAAGACGAAATACAAAACTAGAAACAAGACAAAAATATCGAGCAAAAAGGAATTTAAGATAGCAAAAAATATAAATCTGATATTTGAAAGATGTTATTAGCGTTATAAAAAAAATAAAAATAGAGTATAGAAATGAAATGAGAAAATTGTACCCACATTTGCCCTGGGCCGTGGCGTTTGTGCTGAGGGGGTCGGTGTCGTAAAGACTTTGGTACTTGGCTAGTGTCCCACTCAAATCTCTTATGTGCATCACGTTACTGCGGTAGTTTCAAATTTAGAGACTGCAAGTTAAATAAAACAACATTCCAGTTTGAAAAGAAAAACTTTGAGTGCATGAATTTATTTCATCTACTGCAGTCAGAGTGACAAAACGACAAAGTGAATTAAAAAAATCGTTAATCTAAACTTTCAAAAATCTTTCTATTCAACTAGATGATTGAGATAATAATTGATGGGACGAAGAGGTAGCAAGGCATGCATACTTCATGTTTGGCGCCTCGTGAACGATATCATCCTGAATGGACTTCCTCTCACAGTAAATCACCCACTCTCTCCAATTGAACAGAGGCTTATCTGCAGTGGAAGATTAACAAAAGCGGTAGGTATAAATAATAAATACCGATTTTAATATAAAGTAACCAAGAGGTGCAACTAATAAAATCCAGCCGTTATTAGAGGGTAACTTATAACGTTATTAAACCAACAGTTTGCATAACTCCGTTACAAAAATTGGCCAATTATGAAAAATTTTAAAGTTGAACTATACAACTGACAACAAACAAACACATTAGTTTATTTATATATTCAGATCATTTGTCTATATTTAACAGTGAAAAAATATTAATGAAATAATTGAAAATAATTTTGAAGATTATTATTAATTATTAATTTTGAAATAAATATTAATGACAGAAAGATTATTATTTGAATGAAACAGCTAACCAAAATGAATAT